TATAATTTATATTACTTTTTAACACACCTGCAATGAAAACTTTTTAAACTTGAAACTTGCACATACCTATATTACCTTATACTTAATTTTCATCAAGAATTTAACTGCAATGAAAGTTTTTAAACTTGAAACTTGCACAAACTTGCATTAGCTTATACTTAATTTTCATCAAGAATTTAATACGAGTTCTAATGATTGTTTGTTTTCATAGTTTGGCTGCTGATCCTGCAAGTGCCAGTAAAACTTGAGCCAAGTTCCAATATGCCTCATGCCAAGCAATTGCTAAAGTACTCGTTGATGTTGGAAAAAGAAGGTATGTATTGTTACAAGGACGCAGAATTTGTTGAGATAAGCATGTATTGCAGATGAGCTGCATTTTATTTGGCTTCTGGCCTTACTGTACCTCAGTCTCCATGCTTTTTGGAAATATTATACAGTTCTTGGCACTCCTTATTTCCATACCACGGGACAAACCAGTGCATAAGAGTGTTGTGGGTCACCATCTATGTTGACTTTGTCATTGGTTAGCATCATTGACATGAACATGCCAGCCAGTGGTCGTCCTGGGCTTATCAGGGCTTACATGATGTAAGCCTCAGTGCCCTTAGGCATGGATGGACTCTGTCCATTAAACATTGCTTGGAATCACTCTGAAGTTTATATTTTTCAGTTTCCATCATAATAGTTTCTGCTCCAGGTATTATATTTTTGCCTCAAAGGACTTTTAACAATGTTTTGTAGCTAAAGAATTCAACTCATATGGTGCACAACTAGCAAAAATGCTACGAAATCTCAAAGATAAGTAACACAAGGAAATGGGAATCCACACCAATCCTGTACTTCTATTGTGATGTCCGCACAGCTTAGCATCTTTAATGTCAATGCAGATATCATTACAGCAATGACTTGCACAGCTTAGCATCTTTAATGGCAATGCAGATATCATTACAGCAATGACTTCACCAAGCTGATTTTGAATTCCTGTGATAAGCATTCATAAAAAGAAGCAGAGATAAAGGAAACATTTGTGTCGCTACAACGGAACTCGTAACTTAGTGGGTAGAATTGATGGACAGCTAGTTGAAGAAAAAAAATATTAACATATCACGGTGATCCTTTGCCCATCTTCAATTCCTGTAGCACTGATCCATACATTGGGACTAACCATTTCTATTACTCCGTTATCTCAACTCCTCCTCAGCCTATCTCTTCCACATTATTTGTATCTATTTAACTCTCTCAATTTTTCTCCCCGGCTGTATCGATCTCCTTACCTGCTTACACATCTCCATCTCTCCTTCCCTATATCTGTCATATTTCTATCTACAAGCTCTTATCCTCTCCCTTTTTTCCTCTTAAGTTGAAAAAATACGTACTAATTTCTTATGGGAGGCATGGTTCTATTTTTGGAGTTGAGGAAAATACCACCTGAGCAGAAACTGTAGGCCATGCTTAGTGCTTGAATGACAGGATGATGAGCTGCCAATTTCTTCTTCAATAACATTCATTTGATAAAATTTAAAATATGTGTGATGCCTTGTGATGGGCTTTAGAGCATGTGGGGCTAGTCCTCCCATACTTTTATCTGAAATTTGTCTTAATTTTTTATCTTGCAGTCTGGTTGCTGTCTTAATCCAAACACTATGTTTGGAATAACTGAAGGCATTATATCCAAAAGTAATTCATCATATGAGCTACAAAGTCAACCAACTTTTTTAAAGTCAACCAACTTGATTGACATGGTGATTGCACATGTTGTTGGACGAGCTATTAGGTATGGCGCACTTTCCAATCCCACGACTTTTTTGCAGCTTATTTTTTATGGTTATCATCTGCATTTTAAAAGTTGTGCTTACATGTTCTTAGCTGTTTGGATGAGGTTCGATGGCGTATTCCTAGCAGGAATCTACTGCTATCTATTCAAGAAGTTTTTTTCTCCCTAAAATCAGGCATTACGAGAAGTGTTGTTTTTAACCATGGCATATGAAGGAACCATGATGGACACAAGAAATCATGATGTAAGCATTTAAAAAAAAACCATGGCATATAAAGGAAACATGTTGAAACTTCATGGTGAACCAACAAACTTAAAACTAAAATTCAAACGTGAAGGTTATGCCTATCAAGCCACAGACAACTTCTTAAGAGATTCAAGTGCTTTGATCAATTTAGATTCAACTCTTTTTACCAATGAAGAACCTATATAAGATGATTCAATCTCTAAAACTATTCTCACTAAAACTGTTCCAGCTAAGAAGTTTTAGTAATTCAAAGAGTTTTTAAAGACTACAAATTAAAAGGAAGTGTTGAATATAATTTGAAATGATTTAATGTCTTTCATTGTTAGCTTTTATAGCTCCTGTTTTCTTCATAGCCATTTTTCTTGTCTTTATACCCGCACTTTCTAACAAAATGAGTGAAATTTTTACATTTGATACACTTGAAGAAACAATATCAAGTTTCATGGCCAATTCCCTTATAAAAAGACCAATAGGAATTGCTACCTACTTTTGGTTGAAAATTCACTCTTCCTCTTCCTCTTTCACTGCTTCTACTTCTACCTCTATCATGATTCTAACTTTCTCATGTTTTTTCATATGAGTTTCTTCTATAAAGTGATCTTCTTTCTTATTATTTATGAAAACTTGCCCTTTTCCTGTCAGAAAAATTAGCTTTGATCGGAAAAGTCTGCTCCATTGGTTGCTTGCTATGCTAGTTCACCCTTTGTTCATGCGTTTTTAGAGATCCCATCAATTCATGAATTGAAAGTTGTCGCTACACGACGTCGAGCGACGACTACGTCCCATCAATTCATGAATTGAAAATCTTGACAAATTTTTTGTTTCTTTAATAACATCGACTATATGTTCAAATTTTTATGACAAGCTCTTAGAAATCTTCTCTATAATTCTTTTATCTTAAACATTGTCTCCACAGCTCTTATTTGATTGATAATTTCAGTAGTTCTAAAAAAGAAGTCTTTTAACCAACTCATTATCTTTCATTATAAGATTTTCAAACTCTCTCTATAAATTCTGTAACCGAATAAAAATAACTTTCTAAGAGCTCTAAAATTCATTTCTCAATATCTCTCATGCTTCTCTTGTCTTATTAATAGAGAATATTATGGGATAAATGGATTTGCTTACTCTCCAGTGTATTATTCTCAATGTAGTTGCAATTATTTACACATTCTGCTTGTAATCTTTTGCATCTTCTTCAAACTAGGAAACAAAAGATTTTTCTTAGGGTGGTTTTACAAACCCCTCATTAATTAATGTCCATAAGTCTTATGAAATGAAAGTAGTCTCCATCTGATAACTCCAATATTTGTAATGATCTCCATCAAAATGCACTACTAAAAAAGAGGGTCATTAACATCTGATGTTAGTAATTGAATAATTCAAATGCAACTTTAACAACAGATTAGTAACATATTACATATATATTAATTTTTTAATATTAGTAACGGATTTAGCAACACAAAATCTGATACTAAAAAATTAATTAATATATTAGGAATCAGTAATTGATTTTTCATTGCTAACATGGTTGCATAAAATTTACACTAAAAAAGTTCGTTGCTGATAAAGTTAAAAGATTAGATTTTGACTTTTATACAAAAACAATAAACAATAATGATCTGTTAATAATTAATTAGTCCGCGTATACCTTGCAAAAAAAAAAAAAAACCTCACACAACTGGCAAATACCAATCTCAAGAGAAAAATTCCTTTCATTCTTTGAAAGAACCATAACCCATATGTCCCTTTCTTCTCCAAAAATCTCATCTCTGTCACTTTTGCAAATTCTTCTTCATGAATATATGCTCCTAAGACTTCATTTTTCAAAAACATCATTTGTCACTTTCTTAATTTCTTCTTCAGTGAATTTGCATTTCCAAGGATTCCATCTTGTATGAAAAAAATATGGTGCGGCAAATTAAGATAGCATATATAATGAGAAACTCATATTTGAGAGATTGTATTTGTAATTTAGAGAGAATATTTATTATTTTATTAGCTAATTTTATAGAATAATTTTATAAATTTATTACAGACAATTTGTTAAATAAAGTTGTCATCTCATGCTAATGTTTTTTATTCTTAATGTAATGTTCTTTATCTTCATGGTTCTATGATGATTCCATTGTTGCTTGGTTAGGTAATGAGGTTTTTTCTGGGGTTTTGGTTCGTTTTGCTTTGCTGGGTGTAAGTGTGTGGTTTTTCAGAAGAGAAATATGGGTAATGTGTGATAGGGCCCGTCAATAAAAGTTAAACCATGAATTTTACTCGCATATTGTGAAAAGTGTTTGGTTGGTTAACAATGTTTTGCATACTATATCATTTTCACTTATTTTCTTTAGCATCAACCTTTCTCCAGTGAAATTATTCTTGTTTAGTAGTGTTCAATATAGTAGAGTAGAGAGAGTGAAATTGTTCATCATTAATTTTTTATATTTCTTTTCCTGTTTTGAGTAGAAAATTTATATTTTTGATTGTCCATTTTGTAGATAAAGTCAAACCTTTTTTTCTCATTGATAACTACTTTTGTTCCCCTTTTTTAACAAAAAAACCTTGTTATTGTTATTTTCACCCATTCATCCATGGATTAACCAATAGCCTCCTTGTTATTGTTATTTTCCCATTCATCCATGGATTAACCAATAGCCTGTCCTATTTGCATACACGTACTTGAGAAAAAGGTATAAAAAGTCATCTTCATGTCATGACATTTCTCATAGAATTAGCCTTATATATCTCATGCACCTCACATCATTAAGCTAGGAAAAAGTGATTTATTTTTGGAGGGTAAATGAATGTTTATAGTAAAACACATATCAATATTATTGTTTTACTATGAATAAAAATTTGACAAAAAAGAAGAAAGAGAAATATGATCTGTAGGAAATTCTTGTGCTGGCAAATTCAACTCAATTCAATCCATGTGACATCAAAATAATTAATTCTTATGATAAATATGAAACTTTACCTTGGAAAATTCAACTTATTAGTTTTCTTGTAATGCTATTCTTGCTCATTATAATTTAATTTACCTTTTCAATTTCTTAACACTACTATTCTTGCTTATTTTTATTTTTTTTAATTTCAGATTGTTGAATTCATCATCACATCACATTATTTATTTGCATTTGGAGTTGCCAAGTTTTTGGGTTGTGCATATTAGGTCTTCCAGGTTTGTAATGTAGTTTATTTTTTTTATTAATTTTAAAAGATAACTTGGTTTATAGAAAAATTGCATGATCATTAAATCTTGGCTTTTGTTTGCTAATAATGGTGTAATTTGTCTCTAAAGGTTTTTTTTGTACTACACCTATTTGAAAGAGAAGTTGTAATATTCATATTATGCAATTCAGTGACTATAGATTAGATAGGCATAATTTTATTTTAGTTTGTCGGTATTTTTTAATTTAATGTGATGATCTTATGTAATATATTATTGATCAAATAAATATTTAATTTTTGGTTAAAAATAATAATTATTGCATATATTTGCAGGAAAACTTCATTTCTACAATATTGTTTGACAATGTAAATGATCATTTTGTTTCAATAAAAAGTATAGATTACAAAAGACGAAGAAAAAAATGATGGTGGGAAATAATAAACAGATATTCTTACTACATTCATATTAGTGTTTCATCAATTCAATCCATATGACATCAAAATAATTAATTTCTATGATCAATATGAAAATTTAATTTGGAAAATTCAGCTTATTCTTACTCATTATAGACTGATTCACTTTTTTCATTTCTTAATACTAGCATAATAAGGATGAATTCTTTAAAGAGTTTAAGATATGAGATTATATATTTTTATTTTAGATATAATTATGTGTTGATGAAATCAACTAACATTGTAAAATTGGACGTCTGTAATAGATGGTTGAATATTTTGGCAGAATGATGCAGAAATCTATATATAATAAAAATCTGATGAAATTATAGGAGACTTCTCTTCTCATAGATGGATTTTAAGGAAAATAAAATTTCATGGTTTTAAATAGGATTCTTAGCTTAGGTTGTATGTTGTTGTTTTTCATTTATAATAATAAATATGAAATTATTAAATTGTTTTGGGATGGTAACTCCCATTTTCTTTCTTTCTTTATGCACACCATAGCTTAATTAGGAGTATTAATATAGTGAAAATTTTTTTTATGACAATGAAGACCAAAATGAAGTACGAACCTCTTAAATACAATTAATATAAATAATAGTTTTTTAGGAAAATGAGGATAAAAAAAGAAGGAATTAAAGGAATTTCCAATCAAGGCATTAAATTTGTTTGACCATTTCATTGATTGAAAACATAAATTAATATATAAATGTTTTTGCAATTCAGGCATTGAAAACATAAATTAATATATAATTGTTTTGCAATTTAAGCATTGAAAAAACAAATAAAGAAAAGAGATGGTCATATTTTATCAGCACAATAAGAGATAACTTCTATCACAAAGAGATGGTCATATTTTATCAGTACAATAGGAGATAACTTTTAACACAAAATTTATTAGTAAAATGGGATATCAAGTTTGGACATCAAATATAGACTAATGTATGTCAGTATTTATGACTTTATCCATGCCATCATATGTGACTCCGTAGATGATGATACTTATGTATCTTATATCTAATCTAGCATATCAATCTAGGCCTCAACCACCATAAACCAATCTTATCTTATGATGATCAACATTATTTTGGCTTGTTTCCACCCCCATCTTTATGATAGAATATATTTATTAAATTGTGACTTATCTATTTTGATGTAAGTTTAACAAGATTTAGAAATTTATTATGAAATTTATTTTTGTTTGACTTATTATTGTTGATAAAATAATTTCTAGTATTAATTTATGTTCTTTATATATTTATCTATAATTTTTGAAATATCCAATAATAATTAAAAAAATTCAATAAATTAAAAAAATAATTAAAAAATTCATGTTTTAAAAAAATAGTTATTGAAAAAATCAATAACAAAGTTTCCATTGCTAATTAACACCAGATCAACAATGAAATATTCATTGTTGATCAACAACACAATATTCATTGTTGATCAGCGATGGTGATTAGCAATGGAATATCCATTGCTAATCTATACAATTAGCAATTGAATTTCAGCGATGAATAAGTTATTGCTGAAAAAATTAGTAATTGATAATCTGGTGCTAAAAATTTAGTATTTATTATTTACATATGAAATTATCCGTATCTAATTCCATTACTGAGTGTTTTTAACAATAAATTTTAATTTTATTTGTAATGGATATTTTTTAATAGTAATTGAAATCTGATAGCTGTATAGAAAAAGGTAAAAATGCTAGATGAAGAAGCCATGTAAACCAAATAGCTTTGATATCAAATCTATTGGAAATAAAAGCAGAAACAAATAAAATATAAAAAAGAGGAATTGAAAGGGTAAATGGTAGAGCTCCCGCTCAATACCAGAAGCAATCTTATTATTCCTTGTTCTGTTCAGCTTTTTATAATCAAGGAAGAGTAAAAGACTACAAAGCTGAATTAATGAAGAAGTAGATATACTTACACTACCACAATCTAAAGAAGACCAAGAGAACAAGAGCCATAAAAACTAATAAAAGACACTGAATCGTTTATAGGTACATTATTATTATGAAAACAAATAGATCATAACTTAATAACATTCCAGTTTCAACTACTGTTGACTGATGAGAAGGAAATGACAGGACTGCAGATTGCAAACTTCTAGTTGGAAAACCACACAACATGATCCTGAGGAAGGAAATGGCAGACTGGCACAGTTCCTGGCTTAACGTTGAGCACCTGGAAAGCCAAATGCTTTGGGTTCCATGCTGACGTATCTGTGTGGCACACTGCTACAGCTTTAGCCTTTGTTCCATCATCACCCTCCAAGGGAACCATGTAAGCCCTCGTGGTTTGCGTTGCATGGCAGTAGAAGACGGAATATGCATAGTTCTGCTTGTGGCACACTACAGATTTGTCTCCTCCCATCTTCTTTACTCCGGTCTTAATTGTATACTTCTGCATCTTGGTTTGGGTGTCCACTTCTGTGGAAATTGCCAGAACATTCTTTCCTAATTTGGAAGTGCTGAAGTCAATCATTGACTCTAGTGAAGTCGCGCAGTATTTCTCCTCTCCTTTAATTCCAGGGCTTTCACATTCCTTGATTGTATTCTCCATCTCCGCAGCTTCCATTGATCCAGGTTTCACTGAAAACTCACTGTAGATTTCTGGCAATTTGTCAGATGAAAAGGGTATTGAATCGGCAACTTGACGTGGTAAGAAAGTTGCTGTCTTAGTGTTTTCAGTGAATTGCATGTTCATAATTTTGCCTGGATGCATGTCTTTCTCCAAGAAAAAAACGGCTACATTTGGGTCATCATGGAGTTGAGTCTCAGTTGCAGCATATAAGTAGTTGAACGGGTCTGGCCCTGGGTGTACCCCGACAATTACGGGCTTGCCCTTGTGCCCTGTGCTCACAGATACTCCGCCTTTGCCAACGCCAACATCGGTTCTCTTCCCTGGCTTTCCAGTGTCAACACCAACACCTTTGCCTCCGACACTGACATGGGTGCCGCTGCCTGGCTTTCCTTTCCCAGCATCAACATTCACACCACCCTTTCCTACATTTACTTTGGTTCCTCCAGACTTTCCTTTCCCTGCATCAACACCCACACCACCCTTTCCTACATTAACAGCAGTGCCCCCTGGCTTCCCTTTTCCTGCATCAACATTTACACCACCCTTCCCTACAGCAACAGAAGTGCTTTTGTCTTCCACCAAGTCTGCAATTTTAGTGACATCAATTAGAAGTGCTTTTCTTTACCTTAAACACAGCAAAAGGCGAGCAGAAATACAGACTGTGGCATAGGAGTGTTGCCAAAAAAAAAAAAGCAAGAGTTTTTTAGAGAGTAGTTTGGTTCTTAAATTCTCACCTGGGTGTAGAAGATCTCTGACAGATTGTGGCATAGGAGTGTTAGGCAACACAGAGTTCCAGTAAAGTTCAGGTGGCAAGGCAGCGTGGCTTACCACAAGTGCAAACTGCAATAAATAAAGGTAAATACAGACTTTCATTAGATATTAAATAGGAAAGTAAGTGTAGAACTGGAAACAGAGAAAACCATCCGAAACACCAATCTCTAATGTGTTAAAACAAGTGAAGATTCAGAAGCGTACAGAAAGGAAAGCAAGAATGTGTGTAAGATGGAACTCCATTTTTAGTCTCTTATCGTGCAACATAAAACTAGGTAGGTATTATAATGAGAGAAGAACAGAAAGCTAAGCGCAGATATTGTAGGAGATAGCAAGTTGCTTGCAAAATTTATGGAGGGATTTCTGAGGACCAGGGAGGCTGCTCTTCAATTTGAAGCAACTCGTCACCTACCTTGGCAGCCAGCTTAATAACTTGCAACTGCACCTGGGCCACTCACTTAAATGCAAACGTGACAGATGTAACAAAAACAAGAGGCGATGGACTCTGCGTGTAAGGGTGAAGATCACAAGAACAAATCAGCAAGTAATGGTTTAGATTTTGCTCTTGAAAATGTATACTCACTCTCTGCAAACATGGAGACAGAATGCCTCATCGTTTCTGGACGTCATTGTCGGTTACTGTTCATTGCATTCATAAAAATTGAGATGTGGGGCAGTCTTATTTGCTTAGACTTTTAGCTTGATTTTAACAAGCAACCACCATATTAATGGGGTGAAGTACGTAGAGGGGTAGAGACTACCCATCTTCCATGGTTATGTTATTCAAAATTCAGCATGGATTTGTTTACGTTTTTTTTTCCGATTATCATATCATGTTTTTTGGGCTATTTTCTTATACGGTTGGAATGGATTTTGTTCCTTTCAAAAATCTTCCTTCTGCACTCATTTTTGTTGAGGATTTATCAATAATGGCTGGAAACTATCGTGGCAATAACATAATGCTCTCATGGGATCATCTATGGTATTAAGGAAAAGAATGCCATGTGTTTTTGAATATTTGATATCAACTATTTGACTCGTGAGTGCTTGGATTTGTGTTAGTTTGTGCTTTTTAATACATTTTTAAATTATATTTTACTTTAAAAAATATCAAATTAATATTTTTTTAATAATTTTAATATGCACAATTTATTTTTTATTTTAATATATTGTCAAATATTTTTTTTAAAAAAATAAATTGCATCTTCCTATCAAGGATACTCACTAGCTATGATAGCTTCGCCATAAGTAGACATATATTTATTTAGGTTGTGTTTAGTTGGTTTCTTGGAATATAAAAAAAATATAAACAAATAAAAAATATATTTAATTGAAGAGATAAATATAAAAATATAAAATAAATATTTTTTTAATAAATTTCTGTTGTTTCAAAACAAGAGAGATAAGAAACACATCTCAATTATATTGTTTCTTTTGTTTCAAACAGTAATCAAACGCAATTTTCAAACTCTTAGGAAGCTGATGATGCCCTAACGTTTGTAAATGTTTGTTTTTGCATTACAAATTGTTTTTTTTTAAATAATTTTTATTTTAAAAAATAAATTAACATTTTTTCAAGTGTTTTTACATGATTTTAATATTTTAATATAAAAAAATATCATTTTAATATATTTTAAATTAAAAAACACTTTTAAAAATCAATTCTCCCAACCGTACCAATAAATAATGTTCTAGATGCTATCATTTATGTTTTAGTTTCACCTTTCCCAGCTAGTATGCATTAATTAATGTGACTGAATTCTAACTTCAATAAGGTGCGGTATTTGCATTATTCTGTCCTTCATTGACTAAGGAACTCAACAATATTGCACCATGTCCACTTACCTGGCTCAATTGAACTGAAAACCCTAATGCCAAACCACCTCATAATGCCTCAAGTTGCTTCACCCGCCCATGCTACTTGCATAATTGCATTTCAATTATTAATCAATAATTATGGTGATGCTATAATTTGATTGCATAATTGCATTTCAATTATATATCTAACCTTGATTTATGGTTTTAATTATAATTTGACAAGTCTCAAGTTTCAGGTTTTTTTTTTTCTTTTAGATTAACGTGGGTGTCCGGACCAGTTTGCGCATACCACGACTAATCTCACGGGCCCTGAAATTAACGACCATGTAAACCTGCAGTGGCCATCATATGAGCAACCACGTACTCGAACCTGAGACCACAAAGGGAGCAAACCCCTTAATCCCAAGTCTTTACCACTTGGCCACCACCTAGATGGTTTTGATTAATCACTAGGTTGTCAAAGTCAATTTTTTTTAAAATCAATTCGACATCATTTTAGTTAAAAAAATAAAAGTCATTGGGTTGTAACTGGATTTCTAACTAGGTCTTGTTGGGTCATACCAAGTTTTTATTTTTATTTTTTTCAGCTCAATTCAATTCTAGCTTGAGATTAGCCAGCCACATCAACCGATTTCAAAATTTTGATTTTAATGATTTATCTCAGATTAATACCCTCCCTCCCTCCCTCTCAAAATTTTGATTTTAATGATTTATCTCAGATTAATACCCTCCCTCCCTCCCTCTTTTGTTTTCTTTTTGGGTGAGACCGTGAGACAAAAAGGTAGAAACAAAAGGAGATTAATGTCCTTTAAAGTAAAGTTAATAAGCTTGGCACGGTAAGGTACTCGTTAATCTAGATAAACTTAAAATAATATTATTTAAAGATTTTATTGAAATAAAATAAAATTATTTTGATTTAAAAAAATTATTTTTAAATAAAGTTAAATCGGAACATATTTTGATTTATGAGGTTAACTAAATCTGACCAAGTCAATCTTTTCAAATTTAATTTAAAACTCAACCTCTGTTCAACGAGTTATCAGATTAATCTGCTACGTTGTCATAAATCAAGCGAGTCGAAGAACTTGATGTTTGAGAGGTCCTATTTATACTACACTTTGGCTCTCTGCAACCATTTAATGAATTTTCTGTGATCAACTGTGAAATGATTTTGGATAAGGAAAAATCTATAATTACTTATTTTCCTAATATTATATTATTTCTATAGAATAACAATCCGGACAAACCTAAAATTTATTTAAATTTGTATTAGATATCAATGTCATGATATGCTGCAGCTTGAATAAAAAAATTCTAAATATAAAAAAATATTTAGACCATAAAAAGTTATTTGATATAATTATTAAATTCTACTTTATGGGTTAACTTTTAAATTTTTTGATTTAACTATTTATCTAGTTTAGATTTAAAATTAAATAGTTTAAGAGTTACTTTGATTTAACTTTATCGACTTGATAGATACAAAAATAACTTAAACAACTAATAAAAAATATAATCTAATTTAAAATAAAAAATCTAGGATGATACCTTTTTTTTAATATTAAGACATTAACATATAAAATCTTCATAATTTTTATTTAAACAATAAATATTTAAGCACAATCCCTTGTGCAAATTTGTTTTCTTAAGTAATTTTTACTTAATTATGATATAACAAAAATAAATACTTGTAAATTTGAGTATAAAATAAATATCATAATATTTTTTTGAGATTATGATAGCTTTATATAAGATAAATTAAAATAATTTACAAAGAAAAATTAAACAAATATTGAAAGATAAAATTGAAAAATAAAAAATAATTAAATAAATATTGAAAAATAAGATTGAGAAATAAAAGATGATATTAAAAAAAGAGAGAGAGAAAAAAAAGAGGCTATCTCCTTCATAGTTCATATGAATATATAGAAGATGAGTTGACACCTCATTCTTTTAAATTTACTAAATAATTTAGTAATTTTATTTATTTATTTAAAGTATTGTTATTTCTATTTCCCTTTTTTAAGAGACACAACAGAACAATTCCTAGCTTCTTCTTCTTCTACTTCTTTTTTCATATTTTATTTCTTCAAGTCAATCTCAATATTGTAGATAACCACTTAGCTATATGCTTTGAGAAAATTTATTTACTAAATTGAGTTTTCATTTAAAGATTTTACTATAATATAAATAAAGAATTCCATTATATTAATTACTCAAAAATAAAAAGTTATTTTGATTAAAAAAATAGAATATTAAAAACCCTAAAACAACATGAGATTTCATATAACTGGTTTACTCTATAATTGTTAAAGCTAGTTCAGCTCGACTTGACTTAATTAAAACAATTCATAATTTGAAATTTAATTTAAGCCAGGTTATAAATAAAATAAAATAACACATTGACTTGGCTAAAATCGATGGATCTTGTCAGGTTTTAGTGATCCAATTAACATTCTTAATTTAACATCAAATTTTTTTTTTTGAAAAAATAATAAAAATAATTAACTTAATAATTCAATAACCTACACTGTTTTTCCGGATCAGTCTTCCAACCGTCTGGCAATTATAGTGTATCTAAAGCAAAATAATCTGAACGTAGGTACTCTCGGCAAGATGTTCAGGCGATCCCCAACCGCTCCGGTGGTGCTCATTTACGTTTCTCCTGAGCAAGGAGGAACTCAGCCTACAAGGCTGTTTTTCGGTCCTATTTTGGACCCCATTTTTCCTTCTTTGGGTTTCAAGCCTATCTTGAACAACATTTTTCGGCTCACAAGATCTTGGGCTTTTCATTACCAATTTCAAGTGTGCTAGACATTTGGGCTTCCACAATTACTAAACCACTCAAATCCAGTGTATTTTCTCACATCCCATAGAACCAAATCAATGCATGGTATATATATATATAGACACACACACACACGAACAATCGAGTTGATTGGATCAACTCTGAGTTGATTTTTACGTGTTATCCTTCTCTCTCTTTAGAAAAGCAATACCTAGTAGTTAGTTTTGAGTTAAAAGCTAATCAAGAGGGTTCGAATTTCATGTATAATTAATACCGATTCCCTCGATTCCTTCTCTAGTTGAGTTTTGAAATGTATTAGAATTTGTATGTTGATGAACATCTTTCTAATTCTGAGTTTAAATTTGACATTT